GGCTTCCCTGACCACAAGATGCTATTCCAGGAAAGACCACGGGATATTTAAATCCCTGCCTCGTTTGCAATGTCGACCTGCCTAATCTGCATCCCTCTGTGCCTAGAGGGGTGAGTCGCACAGGGTAGGAGTCAGAGGGCCTGATAACCCTCGACATCCCACAGTAGCGTCTTGGATACAGGCCCCTGGCAGGCCACACACCACATGGAATGTCATCTCAGGCTGCGAGACGGGGCCTCCGCCCCCTCAGAAGAAAGTCTCCAACCACCACTGTCCTACGTGTCCTCCTGGGAGTGGTGGCTCAGCCCTCCCTGCCTTGGGGCTCCGTGGCTTCTCCGCCCGAGCAGGTCCCGGGGTGGCGTAACAGTTCTCCAGAACCACGGTGAGTGGGTTGGGATTACTCAGCTGCCAGTGTCCCCACCCTCCCGGGGCCAGAACCCTCTCCGCCCCACCCCGGGTGTGCCAGGCATCCTCTGTAGCTGGACAGCTGCCTCAGCCTGGGAGGCCTCCGGTGAATATGCTCAAGGAATTCCTCCTGGCCTCGGATGCTCCTCGGTCCCGTATTTGTGCCTGTCCCAACATCTTCTTGAAAAGGGGCAAATTGTCCCGTATATTCTGCCCCGCCCCCATCAGTACTGGCCAGTCCTGCTGGCCGGATCCCAGCTCGCCAATGGCGAATGGGGAGTCCAGTGGTTGACGGTGGGGGTGGGGATGCAAGGTGGCTGGTAGCGGGGCGGGGATGCAGCGGGCACAGCTGGCTGGTTCATCCGCGCAACCCTCGCTAAGCGCCAGCTCCCGGCTGGGAAGGCCCTGCCCCCGTCCTGTTTCCAGGCAGTGGCTGGTTACATGTTGCCTCTGCTACCCACCCATCAGCCCTGCCCCGGTCCTCTCCCAGTTGCGTTCCGGGCAGGGGCTTAGCACCCACTTCACATCCTCCCACCCGGCCCTGGGTCCTGGGGGTACAGGGCTGCTCCATCCGAGGCTCCCTCTCCTGCTGAGATACCTCCCTGGCCCAGTGGGTTCCATTAGGTATCCTTAGGGCTTAATCCCTTCCTGCCCGCTCTGTAGCTGGGGGCCATTGGCGACTGGGTGATGTCGGTGGCCAGCAGCCCGGAGGTGTGAGCTGCCTTTCGACTCTGTGCAGGCCGGAAGGGGCTAGCTGCTTCCAGTCACAGGGGAAGGGGGGGAGAGAAGAAAAGTTTCCCCACCACCCACACCCTCCATTCCCTGTGGCTGGGACACGGTCCCGTCCCCCACCTTCAGGAAGGCTGCTGATCACCTTCTAGTGGGAGCCCCCACAGAACTCCAGGAGGGCACAAGACACCGCCCCCCCAGTATTGCCTCATGGTGCCGGGTAGCAGGAAAGGTCGATCTTGTCCCGGGAATCCCGCCAGGCGTGGGGAGCAGAGAGCACAGGGCTGGCAGGTGTGCGGAGGTGAGAGAGGTGGATAGAAGTGCATGTCATTTTACCCTGATCACCTTCTAGTGGGAGCCCCCACAGAACTCCAGGAGGGCACAAGACACCGCCCCCCCAGTATTGCCTCATGGTGCCGGGTAGCAGGAAAGGTCGATCTTGTCCCGGGAATCCCGCCAGGCGTGGGGAGCAGAGAGCACAGGGCTGGCAGGTGTGCGGAGGTGAGAGAGGTGGATAGAAGTGCATGTCATTTTACCAGGGGGCCGTATTCCACCTAGGAAAAGATGGTCCCTCCCGCCGGCCCCGCCTTCTGAGCCAAATGGCCCTGGGGCCAAACCGGGCCCAGCGCCCCCTAGAGGAAATCTCATGGGCTGAACGATGCATTTTCCTGGTTTGATTTTCCAGAAGTCTGGCTGCTGAGGGGTTGCAAAGGCCCCACCTGAGCCTCCTGGCAGCCGCTGCAGTCCACCATTTCTCCTTGCCTCGCCGAGGCAGAACCGGCCTGGCCCAGCCTCCCTGCAGCCAAAGGGGCAACCTACCCCCGGGGGGAGGCAGGATTCAGCTCCTCTACTAGGGGCCTAGTGGTTAGAGCTGGGGGGGTGGAGCCAGGACTCCTGGGTTCTCGGTGGAAGTTGAATCGGGGCGAGTGGTGCAACTCTCAAACTCCATTGCACCACACCCGCTTCCGACGACACGCAGCCAGCTTCCGGCGGCCCCTCACGCCCTCTGTGACTCAGTGGTTAGCCAAGGGCACCGGGGCACATGGAGCTATTTTTGGGGTCAGAAAAGAGTTGCTGCTCTGGACAGTCTTTCTATCTGACTGAGATCTGGGCTTCAGCCCCGTGGCAGCTCGGGCTCCCCCCGGACCCCAGAGAGTCTAACGCCACCCAGGACGACTTCATGAAGATGAACCTATTTTGGAGGCCTGACCCATACCTTGAAAACTGCCACTCTTGAAGTCAGAGCAGGCGGACGGGTGAGATCCTGGGTCTCTCCCAGCTCAGGGAGGGCAGTAGGTCTAGTGGTTAGAGCTGGGAGCTGGGCCAAGGGTTATCATGGCACAGGGTAGGTGTCTTGATGCACTAGGGGGGGATTTTATGCGTCCTGGAGCCCAAGCGGAGAAATCCGGACTCGGATTTGCTTGTTGATGTAATATCACACTTCAGAAGGATGCTGCAGCCAGGGACACCGAAGAAACATCCACAAACTCAGCGCGTGTCTGCCCTGGAGCTGCATCACCGGCCCCCCATGACAGAGCTGGGGTTGGAACCCAGGAGTCCCGGCCCCCAGCAGGGTGTGGTGCCGGCAGGGGAGTGTGGCTTTGCTCTACCCCGAGTCACGCGGAAGTAACGCTTGCATCTCACACCCTGGAAAGGGGCTGGCGAGGTTTCCTGGGGCACCACCACACACATCACCCCGGCTGAGGCGCCGGAGAATAGTCCCCAGCTCTGCCCTGACGCTTCGCCCGTGGGGGCTCCCAGCCCGGACTCCTGAGTTCCAGCCCCGCTGCAGGCTCCCCACGCGCTGGCTGCGGAGAGGAGGTGAGGATGGGCTTCTAGCCGCCTGGATCAGTGTTTCTATGCAGGGGAGAGCGGTCCAGTGGTTAGAGTAGGGCCAATTCAGGGTGGTTAAGCACTGGAATAAGTTGCCTAGGGAGGTTGGGGAATCTCCATCACGGGAGAGATTTAATTTCCCTTCCTGTTCTGGTGTTCTGTGTACCTGGGAGCCAGGATTCCATCACTCACTCTGGCCAGGGAGTGGGGTCTAGTGGTTAAAGCCGGGGGGGGCAGATCTCTTGGATTCTATTCCCACCCCCAATGGGTCTGTTGTACAGGGGTCAAAGCGTGTACATTTCTTACGGGTACTGTCCTATTTCAAACACTACTGGCAGGGGGAGGGGGGTTGG